CTGGTTGAGCAGCTCGTGTTCGGCTCGTTCGTTAAGCCTAACACGAAATATAAACGAGCCGAACACAAGCAACAGTTTGTTCGCTTGTGTTAGGCTCGAAAAAATTATATAACTTTTTCTATAATAATATATTATATATATTTATGTATAAGTTTAAATCATAACACCTCATGTGACAATGTGGTTAGTGTCTTTTTTTGTATAGATTTGATCCAGGTTCTAATCTCACACTTTACATCTATTTTTTCTCAATTTTAGTTTAACGAGCCAATTTCGAGCCGAACACGAACACACTGTTCACAAGCCGATTTCGAACACGAGCTATTTCGAACGAGCCAAATACGAGCTCAGCCTGAGCTCGCTCAAGCTCGGCTCGTTTACAGCCCTAGTTCTAATAGTATTATTTTTTATTTATTAAATGTCAATCTATTAATATTTATTTGTAATCTAACATGCTTAATAATCTTTGATAAAATTGAGTCAACGTTGTAGTTTTATCTACTTGGATAAATTTTATTTTAAGAGTTTTTTCAAAAAAATTTTTTTGAAATCTTCATTTTCTCACTGGTCTTGACTAGAAACAATGATAGTTTTCTATCTTTTTGTGGTGTAAACATCAGATTATTTTTCAACAGCTGTAAAGCTGTTTTTTAATAAGTTACAATTGCCCCAAACAGACCCTACATATGGCTTGGCTCGACTTAATTCCATAAAAAATCTATTAGAAGATGTTTGTAAATGAGTTTAGTTTTGAATTTTTTCCGGCCCGAACAGTATTAATTTTGAATGAGTCCAACATGGGCCAACTTCGAACTCACTCAAATTTGTTTACAGTATTAGGGTGTGTTTGGAGTAGTACGCCGTGCCATAATTTTTCGTGTTTGAAAAAGTTGTGCTTTGTTTGTGTTCTAAAAAATTTATAATTGAAAGTTGTGTTTTCCAATTACATCTAACCTAGTGCTGTGACTACTAGAAAATTAATATCTACAGTGATGACTAGAAAACTAATATCCGACTTTTTTATAAAAAAATAAAAAAATTTATGATAATTTTTTGAATAATAATATTTCCTTCAACAGTTTCATAACTATTTATCCAACCAGCACCAGCTGCCCCAAAGGCATCATTATGCCATTTGAGACTTCAGTAAACAAACCATGGCCAACAATGGCTCCGAAGCCACATCAACATCGCAGCAGGCACCCATCATCCTTATTCCTCGCCTCCCAACCCAAGTACTACCACCCCACTGCGCTCTCTGACATTAGCATGGCATATGCATCGGCCGTTCCAGCTTTAGCTCTGAAGCAATGGCCCTACTTATACCCCACTATCTCTACCGCGCGCAAAAAAGCCTCCTTTCTCCCTTCTTCCATCGCCATCCTTCTTTTTTTACGTCTCCCTACTGTTACCTATGTTCATCCCCACTCCCCTTCCCAGCTAAATCAATAATGCAGAGCAGCAGCTGGATTCGAGGGGGAGGTGCTTCAGAAAAGAGAATGTCACAGGCTGTACAGCAGGGCATGGTTGGGCCGTTGCTTTTAAATCCCCCGCTTTTGGCTATAAGCTCATGTTATTTCGAGGAGCACCCACGACACGGTCCTAGAAATAAAAATAATGCAGAAATGCTATACGATCCTTGTCTTCTTCCTCCTCCTCAATTTTGACTGGGGAACATCTCCATGGCAATACTCCGTCACTTGCCGGCTCTGCCCCTGATATAAGTTTGAGAAAAATCTTCCACAGTTCCTCTAGCGACTGTTCTCCTGTACGATACTTCTAGGGTTTTGCTTCCGTGGCGCATGGCGATCGATCTTAACACTTTGGGGGATGAATCGGAGGAATCGGCAGAGCAAAAGAAGAGGCCGCATGAGTCGGTGTGCTTGGAGCTATGGCATGCTTGTGCGGGGATGAGGACTCCGCTGCCGAGGAAAGGGAGTTTGTTGGTGTACTTACCACAGGGGCACCTCGAGCAGCTTGCAGGCGGCGGAGATGACGTGCTTCTGCGTTACGGTGTTCCTCCGCACGTGTTCTGCAGGATAGTCGACGTTCAGCTACGCGTGCGTGGTTTTCTTCCTTCATCTGGTTTTGGATTTCGGGGTACAGGGGATGTGTTCCAATGGCTGAAGTTGTGTTTGTTTGCAGGCGGAGGCGGCGACAGATGAAATCTATGCGCAGCTTTATGTGGTTGCGGATGGTGAGGTTGGTTGGCTATGTTCCTCCTTCGAACCTTTTATTCTGTTCATCTCTGCTGGTTTGATCTTGTTTCTTGTAATGAATAATTTTGGATGATTTGATTTCTTTTGTGCTGTCCTTGTTTTCCACTAGATAGATGAGAAAACTTGTTCTCTTTCATTTTCTTCAATGGATATTTTTTATCGCTGAGATTTATAATGTTCAGATGAATAGTCTCCCAAGCTTGTTAATTTTGGGGGTCGTCATCATGCAGGGAAGTGGAAGGCATGTTCATGAAGATAGAGCAGAAAGAGATGGGGAAGAATTGGATGATATGGATAACGATACTAAATCTCCATTTCTTCACATGTTCTGCAAGACTCTAACTGCTTCTGACACTAGCACTCATGGTGACTTCTGTGTTCCTCGCCGAGCTGCAGAGGATTGGTTTCCTCCGCTGGTAAAGTAGGAGCTTTAGTCATTGTTCAGTTGCTGAGAAAATAGATTCTTATATTTCTTGTGCAGGCATTTTTGTCGATATGATCCATATTTTGTAGATGGGAGATTTACATATTTAACACTTAATTCCATGTATTTACATATCTAACACCTAAACTTCAGTTTTTACATATATGCCACCTTATTTATCTATGAAAGGTGTAATTCACTCTTTAAAAGTTAAAATAGTGGTTTTTTATGTGATGTGAAAGATTTGGTTGGTATACATGTAAAATATAAAGTTTAGGTGTTACATATTTAAATATATAGGAATTAGATTTAATTGCATTTGATTAAGTGGCATGTTTATCATGTTGCTTTTTAGGATTACGAGCAGGAGAGGCCTTGCCAAGAGATTCTAGCAAAAGATTTGCATGGTGTGGAGTGGCATTTTCGACACGTCTATAGGGGTAGGAGACATCCTTCCAACTTTATATTCATGCGGGCACAGTTGTAATTATCTTCTACTTCTTGGGTTTTTATGGTAAATCATCAAAGCATATTTCTCAATGATGCTTATTTGCGGTTATGCATCAACCTAGAGTTTTGTTTTTATAGTTCACTCTCAATGGGTGATCAATTCATTAAAAGTCGTGAACATTTTAGATGTATCGGGTCTACTGTTCGAAATGATGGTGATATAGATGGGGATGTTAATAGTAGAATTCAAGTTGATTGGTTGAAGTGGAGGAAGACATCGGGCCTATTGTGTGATAGAGTTGTATCACATAGACTTAAAAAGGAAAATTTTATAAGATGGTGGTGAGGCCTGCAATACTTTATAGCACAGAATGTTGGCCTTTACAAGATAAGCATAAAATTAAGTTAAATGTAGTTGAGATGAGAATGATAAGGTGGGTGAGTGGCTTGACACGACAAAATGCGAAATGAATGAATCCGTGAAAGGGTTGGTGTAGCTCTAGTGGCAGACAAGCTTTGAGAGAGTTGTCTTAGATGCTTTTCGTTAAATATCGACCATCTGATGATCCAGTTAGGAGAGTAGATGTTTTATATTTAACTTAGGTTAAGAAAGGTAGAGGCATATCTAAAAAGACTAGGCATATGATATAAAAAATGATCATAATTTATTAGAATAAAATGAAAATATGACACTCAATAGGACACTATGGAGAAAAAAGGATTGATGTAGCTCACCCCACTTGTTGGGATAAAAGTTTGTTGTTTTTGTTGTAATCTCTACTAAATATATAGATATGAATATTCTAACTGCCCAAAGAAACTCAAATATAAAATAAGATTTTCTTAATTTTTGTATTCATTGCTTTTTCCCCAATCAATGAGAATAGCCATATGTACACGTCGTCTTCGGGTAGAAGAGTAAAATAGGATTTTCATTATATGCATGGATTTAATTGAGGGTGTGAATTAAAAAGAGAAGGCGTGTCAGGTGCATAATGCTCTTACCAATGCTAGGTTTGAGGTGTTGATGCATGTTATTATCTCTAAAAGCATAATGAACTTTTCTAAATTCATTTTTATGCTTGCTGACTACATGACTGTTCTCATAATTTATTTGGATTGCAATCAACGGTACGTGTAAATGCTTTGCTCGCTTTGTAAAGATTTCTGAGCATCATTCGATTTTTTATAGGGGCATTTACATGCATGTCATACAATTCTTATGTATTTACACATCTCACACTTAAACTTTCATACGCATAGCACTCAAATCTTTAATATCACATAAAAAATAGGACTATTAGTACTTTTTAAAAGTCAAATGCACATTTTCATGCAAAGGTTTAAAGTACCTAAATGATATGTGTGTAAATATGAAAGTTTACATGTGAGATATGTAGATAGATAAGAATTGTGTGCTACTTATGTAAATTTCCCTTTTTTATATTATATTCATAAAACAAAAGTATGCTTCTTTGAAGAATCATATTGCATGTTTCTATCAATGAATTAATGCAAATTTTTCTATTATTTATCTGTGGAAACTGTACGTCGAGTAGTAAGTTGTTATCTATATAAAAGACTATCTGCTCATGGCAGGTGATCCACGCAGGCATCTGCTCACTACAGGTTGGAGTGCTTTTATCAATAAAAAAAATCTTGTGTCAGGGGATGCTGTTCTTTTTCTTAGGTACATTAAGGTTGGTAATATTATGGTTTTCTCTTTATGCTGGACCATTTTAATACCGATCTATTTTGTTAGTGCAGGGGGAACGATGGGGAGCTTAGATTGGGGATAAGGAGGGCATCTCAAATCAAAGAAAGAATTTCTCATATAATGTCTTCAAGTCAAAGTTTGAATGCTGGAAGTGGATCGCTACAATCATTGGCGAATTCTATCACCTCAAGGAACATTTTTCAAATTAGTTATTACCCAAGGTAATGGTGTTAGGGAAGGCACAAATCTTCTTTCATTTAATGCACTACACCATGCTAAGTGTGTGTGTTTTTACGTAATCAATTACTTAGCTTGACTGAATGAGGCATCATTTAACCACCACATTCACAGTCCCCATAGGGGACCAATAGAATGGAGCGACCATTAATTTTGCCATTTCATGGCAACCACACATTAGCTCACAACCACTAAAACAAAGTATGGCCTCTTTTACCCGCCACAATTTCTCTGCTATATAATATATACAGATAATATGTATAGGGAGAAAATATGTATTACAATTCTCAATGGAAACTTCACTCATTTTCTCTATTACAATAGATTAATGTCTCTTTGTATCATCTTAAATTTATGGATGGATACTGATTCGCACTGTTCTATATTGTATTGCAGAATCATGCTTGGCAACTATGTTACCCTTCTCTCATTTCTTGAAATTTTGCAGTATTTCTTCATGGAAAACTCTGCCATTTACTTGATGAAAACTCAATTTTTCTCAAACTAGTTGATGCCATTATCCCATCTCCCCTCAAATTCCTAATGTCAAATATCAAACATATAGCTCACACACAACTTACCAGTGAAAACTATCTCATTCATACTCAAGGCTCTGAAGAGATTATTTTAATTGTTTTTATGATGATCCAATCACTATCCTATTAAACTACTCCTAGACTCAATAGGCTCATTGACACATACTTATCTTTATAATACTTGGCTCCTCGTGTTGGTTTGTTCGGGTCTAGTATTTTCATTCAAAGTAGTATTTTCGGAAAGAAATTTTTAGACAATAGGTTAAATTATACAATTATTTAGTGAATAATTACTGCTCCATTATGCATTTATTATTATGCATATGTTTTAATATGTATGTTGTTAAAAATGACTAAATATTGATAAACATATGCATTTTTCCTTAATTAGCATCTTTTAAACATTTTCAATTAAATTTCATTTTAAAAGTCACCTCAGAAGCATCGTCTGAAATATTGTACTAATTAAAATACATACATTTTCACTTCCTTTCTCAAACCTTTTTGTTTTCATTTTCATGCACGGATATGATAACATCACCGGCTAGTAAGAGGACGACTCTTGTGATTGATTTTTACCTTCATGCTATGAAAATTTTATTTAATTTATTTCAACCATTAAAATATTTATTAATTTTTAGTGCGAATGCAATATATGAAATATTTGTAAAACATTAAGCATTCAGATAATTTGTCAATACTTTCATGATTTAATCTTTGAAAACATAAATGCATTTTAAAAATAGAAAAATTTAGTGCAAGTAAAAAAGAAAGTTTCCACCTTAATCTATAAAAGATTTATTATGTTGTTTAATCTTCATAATATTTATAACATGATATACTACATTATTAATTAATTGTCTGTTTTTAATTTGTGAAACTATATTCTCTTTAAACTTGCTAAATTTAAAACTTAATGTCTATAAGTTAACTATATAACTTGAATGCATAATTTTTTTTTAATCTCATTAAAATATAATATTTATGATTAGGCAGCATAGTTTTCGTAGATTTTTCGTAAATCTATCACCACCTCTATCAAATTTATTACTGTCCTCCTATCAAGTCCTAAAAATGTATTACTCTAGGTTTGAGTATTTATGCAAAATAAAAGAATTACAAATTAATAGAATTACCTCAATTGCACTCTTTTTTTTTTAATTCAACAATTTTCTTTCAACTTTTGAATTTTTATACTCCACTTTCGTTCTCTGATATTAATTCGTAAAAATCTATTATTAATACTTGATCAGTTCTTAAACTAAATTTCACTGTTATTGAAATAAAAAAGTAAACACTAACCTTCTTTATAGCTTGCTGAGTTTAGGAAATTTCTCGTGTCTCTTGTACATACATGTATTTCACAATTGACATTGTATTCCTTACCTCGCTCTCGATTGCTTGAGATCACGTCTCTTTTGACAGTTGCTCCGGTTCGATGCTCTCGTCCCTCCTTCTCCTATAACGGAGCCTCTTGTCGTTTATGTTGAACAAATGTAGTTGGTCCAAAATTTTATTTATTTATGTTTTTAATTATAATTTTTTTCATTTATTACAAAATAACCAACAGTGCAATTGCTATAGCCAAATTCAACACTTGCCAAACCCCATCTAACTCTACCCTCCTACTGTGGATGAGGCAGTGGCTCCCATGCTCGAGGCCATGTTTGCAATATTTCAAACTATGCAAGATGTGGTAGTTATTCCTCGTCAAAACTCAGGGAAAGCCAACACTCGTCTATCTACGTCACATGCCAAGTTTATAATAAAATCAAACACTCAGATAATAACTTGCTGACACCACTCCAATCTCTACTATTCTCCAAACAAGTAGTAATCAATCATAAACAAATTCACTAATTTTTTTGGTTTGTGTCGTTTGATTTGTCCCTTGATTCTGATGCTATTTCACATCTCACCACAAAATTGAACAACTGCGCAATTCTATTACATATCAAGGACCTTAGCATGTTCTGTTAGGCAACGATAACTCTATACCAGTCCCATTGCCTGCCAAGGACTTTTCCAAACACCCCATTATAAGCTTCTTCTTCCGAATCTTATTCATAATCACAATCTTGTTTCGGTTCATCATCTTGTATTTCATTTAATTGATGCTTCCAATTTCCTCATCAATAGCCTAAAGACAAATCAACCTATCTTCTGGGGTCATTGTTGTTATGGATAATGTCTCATCCCCTCGAATCAACTTCCACACCTCAACATTGCCTTGTTATCCAAGTAATCAACTATCAGTCTCTAACATTAGCATCTCGATCACTTGATGCCTCCGAACTTTTAGCAATCTTTAAACATGCAATATCCTACAACTAACTGTTTCTTGCTCTTCCACGAGACCAGGTTGCCACCTACAAACATGCAATATCCTAATGTGAATCGTTTGTCATCAGCACAACATGCCCAGTCAAAATCACAAAAGCTCTCAATTTCTACAAGTCCATTATTTCTGAATATCATCCTCAGAATGATACACTGCATCCATATGAACCTTTCTTGAATCATGCATGTAGCAGCTCACCACACTTTACAAAAGAAATTTTAGGTCGAGTGTGACACAAATAGATTAGGCAGCCCACCAACCTCTGGTACCTCTCACGATCAACTGATATACCTGTCTCTATACTAAGCTTGACTTTCTGCTTAATTGAAGAGATTGCATACATGTCTCCGTGAGAAGATCTAATACATAATTTCTCTGAGATAGGACCATCCCCTCAGGTCTATGGGCCACTACGATCCCAAGAAAGTATTTGAGCTCTCTTAGATCCTTTACCTCAAATGGCTTCCTCAATTTTCATTTCATTTGAGCAATCTCTGCTTCATCCCAGTGATGATTGTCATTCACATGGAAGTGCGACCTTCATTGTTTTCGAAAGAACACAGTGTGGTCTGGATTGATCTGCTGATAGCTCATGTCAATCATCGTCATTCTAAACTTGTCAAACCATACTCGAGGAGACTGCTTCAATCCATACAGTGACTTTCTGAGCCTACACACCTTGCATACTGTCTGGGATGTACTGAATCCTGATAGTATTTTCATCTATACCTCCTCCAACAGGTCCCCATGAAGAAAAATATTCTTCATATCCAGTCGATAGTCTCCATTCAACATTTACCGTCAAAGAAGTTAGTGTCCTCACCGTGATCATCTTTGCTACTGATTCAAATGTTTTTTCGTAGTCAATATCATTCATCTGACTGTACCCTCTTGCCACTAGTCGAGTTTTATACCTCTCTACCTCCCCTTCTGCAGTTTGCTTTATCGTGAAGATTCACTTGCATCCAATTGTCTTCTTCCCTGTTGGTAGTGGTACAATCTCCCATGTTCGATTTTTAACAAAACTCCCAAGCTCTTCATGCATTGTCGCTTTCCATTTGGTATCCTCTTTAGCAACCTGCTAACATTTGGGTATAGAGATAGAGTCCAATGATGTAATGAATGTTCCATGCAATTGTGAGATGTAAGAATAAAAAACAAAGTTTGCAATATCAAGTTCTCACCCAAAATGATCAGGAAAATGTCCTGCATTGCTGTAGGAGGTCCTCCTTAATGTTTAGGGGGTAGGAGTAGACGACAGAAGCATAATATTATTTGAAAGTTTTGAATCAAAGGTGGATGGAGTGGGCATCTTAAGAGTTGAGGAAGAGTGGGACAGGGGACTTTTTGGTACTGCAGGCTCTGTTCCCTTAGTTTGCTTCTTCCATCGTGTATACATCCTTAGCTCACCTCCAGTCTGAATCCCACCCCCTATGGGGTCAATCTCCTTGATTTTTGTCTCCTCATTCGATTCATTCCACATCACAAAATATGTCATTTCTCTTACTTTTACCACTTTATCACCACTACTACTCACTCTTTATTGCCTCATATCTTCAGTGTATGTTGAGTCACCAAATGGTGAATTCGTCTCCAGAGTGTAATATGGTTCAAACTCTCTGAATGACATATTCATACTCACAAGAGTCTCTTCTCAATCGTGTTGCAACATACATAACCCTTCTTAGTAGTAGAATACCTCACAAACACACATTTAACAGCTCTGTGATCCAACTTCCTTGTAGATGCCATGTTGTCTTTCACAAAGCATACACATCCAAATTCCTTTAATGGAAAGATCCCACTATTATCTCCTTTCAACATCTGAAAAGGAGACTTCCACTCCAGCATTCTTGAGTGCATCTTATTGATCAATTGAGCAATTGTCAACCCTGCTTGCCCTCATAAGTGTTGTGGGACATTCATTGTCATTATCATGCTCTTGGCTACATCTTGAAGATGCTGATTCTTTTTTTCTACCACTCCTTTCTGTGATGGTATGTATGGGCATGTGGTTTGGTGTTGTATCCCTTGAGCTGACAGGTAGTCCCAAAATGCTATGTTGATATATTTTGTCTCGTTATCAAATCTTAGAGCCTTCACAACTCCCTCATTTTTTTGTTTCATCAAATATATCTAGGTAACACAAGAAAAACAATCAATAATTGTAACAAAAATAATGATAACAATTTATAGAACTAGCAGGACAATGTCCCTATACACCAAAATGTATCAAATCAAACACGTTAGAGCTGCTATTTCCAGAACTGACATAAGAGCTACATAAACGGATAGAATCGACCCAATAAACTATGACTAGAATGACTCATACTTCTGTCATGTAGCAGTAACACATCCTCGACGTTCCTCCCAGATTCTCCTACTGCAGCACTTTCTACCATGGATGTCATAGCTGAATCCATCCCCTCTCGATCTAAGTACAAGAGTCTGCTATGCTACTTTCCAGTTCAAAGCGTCTAGCCCATCCCTTTCTCTTGAAAGATCACCTGAGAAATTTCAAAAGAATCAATGCATTTTAACTGGAGAATAATAACAAAAATAGATAAGAGGTTTACAGAAAAGAAGCATGAAAAACATTTGACACAAAGTCATATAATTGATAAATCTCACGGTACCCTTACCAACTACGGACTGTGTTGTACCATCAGCAGTCTGTATACTCTCTGGTACTGCTAGATGAGTATATGGAGAGAACTCTTCAGCAATACATGTCACATTTCGAGAAGAACAAGAATCTATTATTTATTCTGATGATCTTGTGGTGGAAATAAAGGCAAGAGCAAGTGTGTCATTAGTAGGGCTGCCAAAAAAATTTGTTGTTAACAAGCAACTCGTGTTCGACTCGTTAAGTTGCTTGTGCTCGACTTGTTACTTAAGTAAACAAGTCAAACACAGATAATTTTTTTTAAGTTCGAATTATAAACGAGTTGAACACGAACAGCTCTTTGTTCGCTCGTGTTCGGCTCGTTTTAACTCGAAATAAAACAATCATATAATTATTTATATAATAATATATTATATATATTTATATATAAGTTTAAATCATAACAGCTCATGTGGTAATGTAGTTATGTGTCTTATTTTGCATAGATTTAGTACAAGTTCAAATTCAACACTTTACATCTATTTTTTTTCAATTAATTTTAGCGAGTCAATTTTGAGTCAAGCACGAGCCAAACACGAACAAGAATATTTAAGTCGAGTTGAACACGAACACACTGTTCACGAGACAATTTCGAACACGAACAATTTCGAACGAGCTGAACACAAGCCAAGCCTGAGCTCGCTCAACCTCGGCTCGTTTACAGCCCTAGTCTCCAGTACCTTTGCTGAAGCGAGCATAAGTGGTAATGCTACCCCTTGATGTCGATGAATTTGAAACATCCTGAGCTCCACCACTTGCTGCTTTCTATTTCCTCTTCAACAATTCCACACTCATGATCCTCACTAGTAAAGATCGCACTTGTCTCTCTCTTGTCCTCTATTACCACAAATTTGTCCGGTAGCCCTCTCTTTCACCTTTCTGACCCCCCACGACCACGATCATGACCTCCACCTTGTCCATGTCAACATGTCTCTCTCTCCTTAGGTGGTTTAGGATATGCCTTGCTCATATTGCCAACTTCACCATAGTTGTAGCACTTGTGACTCACCCCCTAGACACCTAGCGTACCTGGGCTCGCAGCAGCCAATGTTGATTGTGCACTTGAAAAATCACTTGGCTTAGAGTGTAGCTTCATGCGACTCTTATTCTATTTCATCAGAGCAATGGCCTCATCTAGTGTTGGAATAGTTGCCTAAGCTAAGAGAACTGATCTCCTTTGATCAAAGATCGAGTTTAGATGTGCCAAAAACTGCATAGTCCATATCTGTGCAAAGATCTCTCCCTTCTTGCACCCCGAATGACCACAGTTTGACATAGATGAGAAGTGATCAAGATCTTGCCACAGCCGCTCTAGGTCTATTGAGTACCCATGAATTGATCTATCACCCTAAATCACTGTCTTTAACTCACGCTGAATCTGAAACACCTTCATTTGTTTCTCAGCTCCAACATAGATCGTCTTCAACTTTGTCCAAATGTCACTCACTCTTTGAATGTCATCCACTTATGTCCTCTCTGCTCGGCTTCGATCGCAACTTTATCGTGAGTCTTCCATGTGATTTTTTCACGTTCGTCATCGCCGTCCCAGGTAGTGATCCCCTCTCTGGAACAACTTCGCGTCTCTACATACGTACGCAAATCCTGGCTAGGTTTTTAGTTCTGATACCAAATTAAATTATTTTGTGAAAAACCTTACTCATTTCATTAACACTTCGGCTTATATAGTTTTACAATATTTACAAATAAGTCTCTAGATTTCTTCTATTATAAATAGAACCGTTCATTATATACAAATTTGAACATATACAAAAGAGTCATACATAATTTAGAATGCTGATCTAAATAGGGAGAGGCTGATTGGGTTCTACTAGCAAAAACGGATCCTGAGATATGGAAAATTTTATAGTTTTATTTGGTGCAGAAGTATATCCAAAAGTAATAAACTGTTTTTGGCTGTTTTACAAGATTTAACCATTGACCTGTTCATTTATTTTTTCGAAATTTTGATTATTAGTTTTCTACTTAAAATAGAAATTTACAGTATTAATTGCTTAGTATTAGGATTTTATTTTTCATTCTCTTGTGAAGGACTTCATATTATCTTAAGTTATTTTATATATATATGAAATTTATACATTGTTGTTTGCTTGAATAAGCTCTTCCATGAATTCTTCTGCCTGCATGTGTATTTGTTAGGCATTCCTATCTTGCTGGCACTCCTTTCATTACTACTTTATGCTCTTCTGATAGATCTAGCTTATGAGGCTATTGCTCTTATTGATTTTATGACTTCCATAGGGTTAACCAATCACAGTTCATTATTCCTTACTGGAAGTTCACAAAGAGCTGCAGTTATACAATTCCTGTTGGGACCAGGTTTAAAATGAGTGCTGCTGGTGAAGATGCGGCTGAGAGAAGGTTTGAAAAAGTTTCATTTAGGAGGGGAGTGGAATGAGGATGCTGTGGAATTTGTTCAAGAGTGTTTCATTTTTTTTCCCATTGATTTTTGTAGGTTTACAGGATTGATAACTGCTGTTAGTGACTTTGATCCTCTACGGTGGCCAGGTTCAAAATGGAGGAACCTAGAGGTATTAAATTCAGATTTCTAGTCGCTGCATCCATCCATTGTTCATATCAGGCATAATGTTTTCCATACTAATCTAATAATTTTTTTATTCAATTGATTGCTGTCTTTGGAAATTTTATTTTACTTTCATCTGTTAGTATGCTCCTAAATGCCTTCTTCTTTGTAATTTTATGCTGCATTGCATTATTAATTTATCCTAAACATAGCCTTTAGACTCCCAGCCAACCCTTAAGATAACCTTCTTTGTATTCATCACTTACAGGGGAGGAATTTCTGTCATGACAATTTGTTCCTGACATGATTATGGTTTTGAGCCAAAAATATATTGTCTATCCATAGGGCACTTCTGCTTATTTTGCTTGCGTTTTTGAATGATGAATCAAACTGGAATTAGTCACCTTGTTTTCTTGATGCAAGTAATTGTTAAGGAATTAATATAGGAATAATTGAGTGTTTGATGTTGTATTTAATCTATTCCTGCCATGGAATTGCTTTAAGAGATTGTTGTGAGCCTTTTGAGTTTTTTTTTTTTTTAGATTTCTTGAATTTTTCTAAAATTACTTAATGATTTTTCGAAGTTTTGTGGATTTTAATCAATTATTAAATTAAATATCCTATTAATTTAATCTGCACTGCAACAGCAGCTGACGTAACATGTACTTTCCATTTGTCCACGTGTGATTGGAGAGTGCGTTCCAGCCGCAGGTCCTACGGGTGAACTGTTATCTCGGACCTCAAATCTTAATCATTCGTTCCAAACAACAAAAATAGACTGATTTTGTTTCCTACCTCCAGCCAATTGACGCATAGTGTGATTGCCCCTGATCCAAGCGATCCAAGGAGCAATAGTGAGTTTCTTGTGTTCCATAAGTATTAGAGACCTCACCCGGGGTTCTGGCCTATTTGATTTTTTCCTGAAACCTAGTTTTGTTCTCGAAGTTTCTAAACTAAGGCATGTAGGGAGAGATTTGGAGAATACCCACTGCAGGTGAATTGGATCAATTCCCGCGACTGAGAGCTTTGTTACGAACTCACGAACTGATATCCTCTGGGCACCGATGGTAGAAGATGGCTGTACTCATGGGGAGAGCAACGACCTGCTGCTGTATCATCAGAGTTGGCGTCTAGGGCACATAGAAGAGGTTTGGGAGGAGGGGGAAGGCACTAGGAGGCTTGCACAAAGCTGGAGAATGATTCAAATGTTCCAATTCAAGATGGAAGAGGCCCTATGAGGGAATTCAAATTCGATCTCTTTCGACCATGGCAATTGCAGCAGTGTTGTGCAATGATATTAACCTATTCGAGCCTGCCCCTGAGTGGTTGGAAGGCTAGAAAGCACAGTAGAGATTGCCTAAGGACTTAAAATTTTCAAGGCCAGAACGTATCATCAATAACAACAACAACAAAGCCTTAATCCCACTACTTGGGGTCAGCTAAATGAATCTTTTTTCTCCATTGCATCCTATTTAGTGTCATATTTTCATTCAGTTCTAAAGGTCTACCTCTGACATAATTCAAATCTAAAACATCTACTCTCCTAATCGGATAATCAGATGGTCGACGTATAATATGACCAAACCATTTAAAACGACTCTCTCTATTTTTTTTTGTCACTAGAGCTATACCAACTTTATCACGAAGATATTCATTTTTTGCATTTTGTCTCTAAGTGTAAAGCCACTCATCCACCTAATCATTCTCATCTCGGCGACACTTAACTTAGTATTATGCTTTTCTTTTAAAGGCCAACATTCAAAACCATAGAGCATTGCAGGTTTCAGCACCGTCTTATAAATCAGTCTAAGCGGTACTTTTCTAAAACACAATAGGCCCAAAGAATGCCTCCGGTTCAACCAACCAATCATTCTCCTCTCAACAACACTTAACTTAGTTTTATGCTTCTCTTTTAAAGGTGAACAATAGACCCAAGATATCTAAATCGTTCACACCTTTTAATAATTTGATAGCCCAAAGTTACACTTGTCACTAGAGCTACTACTATTAAAATTACACTCCATGTATTCAATTTTAGTTCTACTCAAATGAGGGTCTTTAGACTCCAATGTAAACCTCCATAATTCAAGTTTTTCCTGGGCTTTTCTCTCGTCTTATCCACGAGAAGGATATCATCAGCAAAAAACATACACCAAGGTACATCCTCCTGTATGTCCAGAAAGACCACCCAAAACAAAAGCAAAAAGATATGGGCTTAAAGTCGATCGCTGACGTAATTCAACAGAAATAGAAAAATATTTGATCAATACCCCTTCAGTTCGAACACAAGTAACAACTCTAATATACATATCTGTAATAACCTGAATATAAGTCATATCAACACCTTTCTTCTCAAGAACTCTCCAAAGGATATCCCTTGGAACCTTATCATAAGCTTTTTCTAAATCAATAAAAATCAAATATAGATTCTCCTTATTATCTTTGAACTTCTCCATCAAACGTCTCAATAAATGTATAGCTTCCATAGTAGACCTGTCGTGCATAAATCCAAATTGATTAAGAGAAATCTTTGTAATACGTCTTAACATACGTTCAATTAACCTCTCCCATAATTTTAAAGTATGACACATCAACTTAATTCCTCTATAATTTGCACACACTTGTGCATCCCCTTTATGCTTAAAAATGGGGAACAAAATACTCTTCCTCCACTCCTCAAACATCTTTTAAGTTTTTGGAAATAATATTAAAGAGTTTAGTAAGCTAAAAAATTCCCAAATCTTCTAAATATTTCTACACTGCAATTGGGATATCATCAGGTCTTACAGACTTTCTATCCTTGGTTTTCTTTAAAGCCTCGTCAACTTCTTTTTTACTAATGCGACGGTAAAAATGAAACGTTTTATAAAACTTCATTAAAAAGTTTATCAAAATAACTCATCTACTTATGTTGAATATCTTTTTTTAAGAAAAACACTTTTTGATTTTCATCTTTAATACACGTTACTTGAGTTAAATCTTTACTTTTCTTTTCTCTTTGTTTGGCTAGTTTATACATATATTTTTCACCCTCTTTAGTATCTAATATATTATAAAGATCATTAAAAATAAAATTTTTAGCGTCACATAATGTTCTTTTGGACTCATTGCAGGCCATTTGATATTTTTCCTAGTTCTTTAAGCTTTTACGTCTAAACCAATTTCTATAACATAACTTCTTATATTTTATCTTTTCGTGCACATTATTATTTCACCAACGATTTTTATTTAAAAACTTCTTTCTTTTGATTCTCCAAGTACATCTTTTGCTACTTATTTAATAGCGTTTGTTATTTTATCCCAAATAATATTTGTTTCTTTATGAACATCCCAAATTTTGAAATATTGAATTTTACGCATAAAAATAATTTTATTTGTGTCTTTTAGGTTCTTCCATCTAATTCTACGATGATGAGTCGTAGTATTCTTTATTTTACAACTCTTCATTTAAAAATCTAGAACTAATAAACGATGTTGGGTACTTATATCCTCACTTGAAATGACCTTACATGACCTTACAATCCCCTTACAATCCTTACAATCTCGACGATCTCTTCTTCTCATAAGAAAATAATCAATTTGTGTTTTATTAGATCTATTCTTATAAGTAATAAGATGTTCATCTCTTTTCTTGAATAAAGTATTATGAATAGCAAAATCATACGCCAAAACAAAATCTAAAATAACTCTTACCTTTTTCATTTATCACTCCAAAACCGTAGCCACCATGAATATTTCTGAAATCTTCTACAATTCTATTTACATTTCCATTTAAATCTCCTCTAATAAAAATTTTTTCTTCAAGATATATCATTTGTATTAAGTTTTCTAAGTCATTCTAAAATTTATCTTTAGACTCTATATCTGAACCTACTTAATGAGCATGAGCACTTATAATATTAAAAATCTTAGTATCGATGATAATTTTAAGGACTATAATTTTATCTCCAACTCTTACAACATTATATTTCAAACTCTTATCTATAATTACACCTACACCATATCTAGTGCTACTCTTACCAGAATACCAAAGTTTAAAACCTAAGATATCAATTTCCTTAGTCTTTTCTTCAACCCATTTAGTTTCTTCAATATATAAGATATTAATTTTTCTATGAATCATAATATCAACTAATTCCATTAATTTACCTATGAGAGTACCTATATTCCAAGTTCTTATCCCAATATTAGTTTAAAATAAAATTACCATTGAGAGTACCTATATTAGCTAGAACGTATCGTCGGGAGGTGAAAATAAAATTTAATTATTTATTCTAAATCTAAGATAGAGAAAGAGTTACTTATTTATTGACTTTATTTCCTATACACATTTTTTGTCTATTACTCTTTTTTTAAAAAAATTCTGAACTTGAAAATATTAAATTTAGAATATAATGAGCTAATAATAGTCATTGATACTAAAATTTTTACATTACAGTGACACAACAAAAATAAATCAATATGTATGATAGTTAAACGTGCAGTAAATCAGTATAAGATCATTTAAGAGATTTTATTTTCAGATATGATTGTGCATGATAGTTCAAAACATTCAATTATCATATTCATATCAATTACATCTTTTCTCTCTCTCTCTCTCTACACACACACATAACCGTCATGTGAGTACCGTTTAATTTGTATCCTTATTTGTAAATATTTTTGGTTAATTGTTTATAATTTAATCTTACTATTTACATGTAATTTATGTTTATTTTATCTTTATAAATCATCATTTTTTTAAAATCATTTAATCATTTTTTTAATAATATTATTATTTACTTATTATTAATTTAAACTTTTTTTTTTTTTTTGGTGATTTCTTGATTAGTATTCTTGTTAATATTTAGAATTTCATCAATTAAATTTACAATGTTAACAATTTCTATATAGTATGAAGATTAACTTTTTATAAATTGAATCCTCATCATTAAGTCATAAACATTTAAAATACTCAAATTAATACATAACATATTTTAGACATTTAATTATTATTTTATTATATAT